GTGTTGCCTCTGTTTGGACCACCTTCTCATCTGATAAGCAAAGATTTGACCGTGCAGGTATTTTATCCGTTTGGACAACCTTCACATCTGTACAGGGTAGTTGCTCCAAAGGCAGTGTTGCCTCTGTTTGGACCACCTTCTCATCTGATAAGCAAAGATTTGACCGTGCAGGTATTCTATCCGTTTGGACAACCTTCACATCAGTAAAGCGTGGTTGCTCCAAAGGCAGTGTTGCCTCTGTTTGGACCACCTTCTCATCTGATGAGCAAAGCCGTGACCGGGCAGGTGTTCTCTCCGTTTGGACCATCTTCACATCTGTAGAGAGAGGGAGCTCTGAAACAGGTACTCCCTCAGATTCTGGTAAGTCTTGAGCCAAAGGCAACCTTTCTTTTTGGAAGAACTGCCCTTCTGCTATCCAAAAGCCTTTGGGGGGCAAGCCTGTCGTTGAAGCCGAGATGGCCATTGTCTGGACAGACTTTTGTTGCAAAGGCATCGTGTCGGTTTGAACAGCCGCAGAGTCAGTCTTCGAAAGCGTCACGAATGACCTTGATTCTGTCACCTTAGCTTGGCTTGATTTGGGAAAGCTGCAAGTTATCAATTACACTTACACGTCATAAGGAGACATCACTTGAGCGAAATGATCTAAAATCTAAAGATGAAGTGACTCTGGTGTTCTTTGCACCATCTGCGTGGCTTCTCACAGCAGCTTTGGCTGCGACCAAGTACCATGCATGTAGTACAGCGATAGCCTGAGTTGAGTGCCACTAAAGAGAATGGTAGATAAGCTTCCATGATTGACGGCACCTTGCACCTGGACCTTCGTGTACAGTGAATGACGCAGAATCCAATTCTTCCTGGCAAAATCCACTGTGAATGAACACAAATCTTCAAGCCCTGAACAAGACCTTTTGAAACGTCACAATGCCGGAAGAGCGTCTGCTCTTTCAAGCAAGCGCCTTCCTATGGCCACAAGCAACTGGAAAGCTGCGTGTTCTGATTGATCAACCACCAACGCTTCATGCCAAGGGGCTGTTGAGAGCAAGAGACTGGGTTGACGCTGAAACATTTGGTCCTTGAGTCCAACTTTTTTCAGGAACGACATTGTTTGCTTCAAAAAGGCAGCTAAGGAACTAAGGGAACTAAGGGCTCTCCCTGGCCTCAGGGTTCGGTCCGGGGAGTCTAAAAAGTGCTCAGCTTGCCAAGGATGAGCATCCAAGATATCCAAGTGCAGTATCCAACGTCTGCTGTTTTTTGTGGCATCGTCATCCAACTGCGATTTCGCAGACAGCAACTCCAAGGTTAGTTCATGCAACCTGGGCAATGACGCTTCATGACGCATCGAAGCAATGCTCACACTGCCCTGAATGAAGGTGACTTCACACAACAGAACACTGCACACAAAATGACCTTTTTGAACGCGACTTCAAGTAACATTCCAACTCTTCAAGAAACCTGTTCATGTTCACCCTCCAACCATCTCAAATCAGTCATTTGTGCTTGCGACCAAACCACTTCATTGATCGGATCTGCTCATTTTGATGCTGCAACGCCTCTTGATCCGTGGGGTGTGGCGAGGGCCGCCGTGTGGGTGTTGAGCACAGGCGAGGGCCGCGAGAATCCTGGGTCATGGTCCCGGACTTGGATCCTTCAATCATTACGCCTATTACGGCATGGAACTTGCCTTTGCAACCTGATTGCTGGGAGGAGTGGAGAAGTGTTACCAGTCCTTGCATTTGGAATGGTTGCTCCTGCCAGCAAACAATCAAACATCGCAATGTTCATGAAGTGGGGACTGAAGTTCTGCATATTCAAAGACTAGCAGGTCTTGGTTCTGGGACACCTAAGTTGATCAAAATCCACTGCTCCAAGCGGATTCAAGCCTGCAACAGTCAGACCCATGGTAGTAGCAGCATGACTTAACTTGAGTTTTGGACAAGCAGATTCAAAACATATCAAAATACACGACGAACGGCCCGAGAGCGATGACACACATGCATATAAGTTCTGTTGTTCAGCATGTCTTTATTTTGTATCAGCGCGTGTGGATCCCACATCTTGTTATTTGCCGCATCGTCCGCAGGTGTGTGCACCAAGCCTCGTGGACACCGCCAATCATCCCGCTCCCAGCGACACGCCAGCAGTTTTCCTTCCGCCAACGGCACGAACTCACGCAAACACACCTTCCACCCAGGCCGAGCAAAAGCCGCATGATACAACAATGTAACACCACGGCTCGTGGACACCACCAATCCGCCTGCCAGCGACACGCTGTGTTTACGCCAGTTTGTTTCCCTTCCCACAATGGCACAGACTCACGCGCACACACTTACCACCGAGGCCGCGCAAAACCGCATGGCACGGCAATGTAATTTCGCCACACGGTCAGTCTGCCACATGCAGACTACATACAACAATGTAACACCAAAGGCTGCTGGCTAAGAAAAGAAAAGATATAGATGTAGAAGGCTGAGATGTGTCACACACGTGCGCGCTCAGATACGTTTTACTGTATGTGAGCATATATTTGATCGTTTACTGGAGCAAGGCCCCTGAGAAAGTTACGTGAGATATTTTGCAAGTGTGTTTACTGAAGCAAGGTCCCAGCAAAAGTTACACGACCTATTTTGCAAATGTGTTTACTGAAGCAAGATCCCGGCGAGAGTTACATGAGCTATTGTTGAAGCAAGATCCCAGCATCAAAGCAGTTCTACTGCAGTACTAGCAATTGTCGTATAACCACCTCCCTAACAGCAACTCTAGAAAATCACACCCACACTGCAGGTGTACTTGTGGCATATCTACAAATGCAAATATATACGTCTCAAATGTAGTAACGCAAATCTGTAATGCAAACCCTTTCTACAGAAGAACCCTTCGCAAACACTCCCGGGAAAAATCAAGTGCTCCAAGCAAGGATCCAAGCCCGGTGAAGTCTGTCCACTGAGGCTTCGATTTTGCCACTCCCGCTCCATTTTCTGAAGTTCTTCTCGCTGACTCTGCAGCTGAAGCAGGTTCTCCTGGGCTGTCTTTGACAACTGCTGGTCATTCACCCAAGCAATTTTTTTTCACATTTTTAAGCTACTTCCGGAAGAACTGAAGTCGCGGGTGCAACTTCAACCGATCAGTCCAGCAAGGGACTAAGAAGCATTGAGGAACAACACATGGAGGTTTGGAGTTCCAGGAACAAGAGGAAAACCAGCCAGATTCGAGCTAAGGTACTTGAAGTTTCTCCTCCCCTTCTCGAATTGCTTCCTCCCTTTGCGCAAAGATTAGCAAATGATCCTCATCAGCCATAGCAGAGACCTGTGCGGAACTAAACGTGTAGAGTAGAGGCGGTTCAGCGCGTTTAGAGCAAGTTCCACCAAGTTCAATAAATGTTGATCTTTCCGCAAACAACTGGGCCATGGTCACAGAATAGGGAAGCATCAGTCAGTCTTGGAATCACTCACCACACTGGTTCGCAGAAGCAAACAACATATGGCAGTTCAAAGCTTCATGCTTTGCTTGACTGCCCAAAAGCATCAAAAACTCCCCCACCACAGGGAAAGTGACAAATGGTAGTAAGCCGAACGCCTGCACTCCCAGAATTGGTGCACACTGAGGATCTGAGCCTTCCATGTTCTCTGACAACATCAGTCATGTCTTGTTTGGGTGAGTTTTTCTGCCCAGGCATGGTGACCGTGCACCGTTGGAAAAGAAAACAACAAGCCCTTACATCAGCCTTTGGTTCCCGGGCATTTCTGGCGCAGCTCGGCGATTGTGTTTCTCACCGTTACACCCCCTACTAAAGCGTCCTTGCTCCTAGTAGCGTGGCACCTGTTACTACTAGTAAGGCACTTGTTTCTAATACATAGCTTTTTTGTTACTACTAGTAAGGCACCTGTTACTACTAGCGTGGCACTTGTTACTAGTAACAAGTGTAGAATGTCAAGCCTCACACTCAACCATTCCCTTTGGGATGCTTTTTCAGTCCAAGTAGCTGGTCGAGAGGCAGTTTCATACTGCCTACCCTCTGGAACGGCTCGTTGTCTGAGGAGGTCCAACTCTTCCTCGGCTGGGGGAGGTCTCACCTACTAGCTGGTACTCTTGGTGTACTTGGTAAAAACCTATCCACTCTTGTCAACTCTCATCCCCAGGGTTTCAGTTTCAGGCACACAATTAAACATCAAAGTATGCACAAGCAGACCTGCTGCAAGCGACTTACTCACACGAGTCTTTCAACAAGGGCCTTTGAACACACAAACAAAGCAAACCCTTGTGTTGTGGAACCTTTCTGGTGCCAGTTTTCAACTAGGTAACTAGGTGGGGCCGATGTTTCTGCGAAGAATTTCAGTTCCAAAGATGCTTCGCTTCAGGTTGTCTCCAAACAAATTGGTGAATAGGTTTGCTGTTTCATCCTCTGAGAATCGGTCTGCCTTTACTTGTCCACCAGATTGGTGGGTTGGCAATAAATCGCATCATTCCTACCATTTTCACCGGATTCTCGCCTGAACTCCGAAAAGTCCTCAGTTGTTCAAAGCTGACACCTCACGAACATTTGGGTGAGATTCTTGCATCCTCTTGCGCCTGATCCGTTCCTCCTCGAGCTCCCGTTGCACCAATTGTAGTTCTTGTTGGTGAAGCCACTCAAGGCCTCCATCTGTAGACCTTTTCCTGGGCACACAGGATCGGACCCAAGAATTGGGGCTCTGCCGCAGGATGCAAAAGATCGCACCCCCATTGACCTTGCCCGTGTGATTTGAGCTTCCCTGCGATAGGCCCAATCCATTGAAAACAAAACAACAGGAATGCTGCAAGTTCTACCCAGAATTGCAATGTACTTGAGGCTTGATACCAAAAGACATGAGCCGTGGCCCAACTACATGGACAAAACTCCTGTACACCCTTTAGCACTCTTGGCCCTCCACATTTCAGTAATACAGTGTCCATCTGGCCCATCTGGGTTGTAACAAAGTATATACGGAGGTTTTGGGATGCGGGCCTTTGAAACGAGCTTCTGGTCAAACTACTTAGAGGATAAATTCTGGTTGAGCTCAACAAACACACCTGTGACTCAGAGCTGATCTGCACCAGCTGGGATTACGTAACCATAATACCTTCAGCAGCTGACAGTGTCATCGATCCTTGAAGACACTGAACTACGTCTTAACTATATAGTCTATACCAGGACCCTCCAAGGGGTGTCCAATGGACTACCCCACACTACCTATGGGCTTCCATTGGGCACCCCTTGGATGGTCCAGGTAGAGACACTTAGCTATGCGCTGCTATGCACCCCTGCACGGATTGCAAGATTGTGCGGTCAGCTGAGTTGGGACTGTAATAGTGTAGCTTCAGTGCTGCATTCACACAGGAGAGAACACAAGAAGGCCAAGAATGGAAACACGTGTGCAATCACTACTGCTTGAAACACAGCATGAAAACGCGCGAAGGCTGAATGGAAATAGATCAAACTGAGTGTCAGCTGAGCTTGCCAAGTCCGGAGAACTAAGCTGCACAACCTGGAGTTCGAGTTGGTGGATTCTACCAAGAAACACCCAGTGCTGATTAAATATAGCAATGGAAAACATGAAAATACACCATGCCATGATATCTCCGCATACTTACCCACAAGCACACAAAAAACAACATTGTATTTTTCTGATACTTTATCTCCATCTTCTTCAGCGTTGTCCAAGTTGCTCTTTCCAACCATTCCCAGTAAGTTAAAAATATGTGTCGTTCTTCAGTTCATTGTTTCTATCATTTGAATCCAAATTTGCCCTTCATCTTTTCACCGTTTTCCAAGTTTTCCGCTTCTGCATCTGTTTTGAGTATTGTTTAGTTATGTTTAGTTGTCGAATTTTATGCCAGATCTTTTGTGCTATCTCATGCCAGCTAAAATCTTAACTCCCCCAAAAACAAGACATGGAACATCGCATCCTTCTCCACGCTCTGCTGCTTCAGCACCACCTCTGCGCAGTGCTCCGCCCGCTTCTGCTGTCGCAAAAGCTCTGCCAACTCTGCATGGCGCTGCAGTTCGCGGAGCCGCTGCGCCGCCGAGACGCTCCGCGCCCAGCGCTGGAAACCTCGACCCATCCGGTCTTCGGCACACCGAACAACGACAATCGCCCACAAAACCATTTGCCTCCAAGGCTGGTCCTGTACGCAACAATTGTGGGCCCAAGAAGCTGCATGCAAGCGATCACAAAAACCTCCCTCCGAAGTTGTACAGTTGAGGGGCCTTGCATGCTGGCTTGCCCCCTCAATTTTTCAAGGGCACAAGCCAAGAGTAGCAGCTCAGGTTGATAACGGGAGCAGCCTTAATGAGTTTCTTCCCTCTTCTTCCATGTGAAGAGGCCATGTGATGATATATTCATTTCGACAAAGCCAAGTCCAAGCCACCCCTCTCCTCCACACGCCCTGTGTTTCTGTTAGGTTCCTGCCTAACTCCTGTCCCGCCCCTCATGACTGACGCGTTTGGCTCAAGCCCACGGAAAGCAAACGCTTGCTTCACACGCCTTGCCGCACTTGTCACTGCATTCCGCATACTTTGCTGGACCGCTCGGTATCAAGACTAATTCCGAATCGATCATCACTCGTGAGGTCGCTGTCCAGACGGATGCAGAAACAGCTCACACTATGCGGAATTTTCGCCAGATCCATTTGACCTAGTGCCGGAGCATTCCGAGGAAGATGCTGAGAACCTTCTGTAAGACCAGCATGAAGACGAAGAACAAGAAGAACCTGAAGAGGAAGAAGAAGCAGAAGAAGGAGAAAAAATAGAACCTGAAGAACATCGAAAAAGAAGGCCGAAACTGATCCCACTGAGTCGTTTCCCTCTGTAATGGTCATAATGAGAAAAATGAAGACCCTGATCCATACCCAGACTCCGGCGCTAAGGTCGAGCAATTTGATCCGCTTCGTAGGGACACTCGACCAAAGGATTCGTCAATCGGAAGCGCCGGCGCTCCAACAAAACGTAGGAACCAACAACCAGAAGATCTTGATGAAGAACCAGAGACTCTTGATGAGCCAATCGACACATCCGACTCAGAAAAAATCCAGAAGATCAAAAGTTGGAGTATTCAAACGCGAGGTATGTTGATTATACTACCTCCATTTGCGCGACAACCGTTGCGGCGTTTGTCCGTTCACCGCAACTTCCAGCATGGCATGTGCCAGCTTTGCAGCAAATACCCATGGCCTGCGTCATTCGGCCCTTAGTTGTTTGTGTGACACTAAGCACATTGTCACCTTGGATGAGGGTTTTGAATCAGTCTCCGAATGCAATCTTACCGACGCAGAAGGTGAATATGTCTTCAAGAAAAGAACCGAAGCGCAACAATCAACGCCAACTGGTTTTCAAGATCTTGAATACTGTGACAGAACCCTTCTTGCAGAGTGTGCAGTTGCTAGGTCCATGCAAGGCCCATACGATTAAGGATATGATTTCTTCGGTGAACACTCTTTTGAACAAGGCACTGGTTTTGATTTTCACCGACCGGCCTCAACTTCCAAGGAGAATGTAGGCGCAACGCACTTTAACAGTCCAGAACTACATCCAAGAACTCAAAGGTAAGGTTTTGGAGACTGGTTTGGTCAGCCGGACAAAGGTCACGTTGGAAGAGCCCAACTGACTCCACAGAACCTGTGGAACTTTGTCTCAGCTCACTTTGAACTTAGGAAGCCAGATGCGTAGCCACAAGCTTCCATGGCGCGCAGGCTGTTTGGAGTTTGTACCACTGAAGGATATGGACTACTATCCGGTTTGAGCATCTTTCAGCATGAACATGCAGCAATATGCAGCATGGCCGTAACAAATACTCTGTAGTAGCAGCAGCAAGCTCTCCATTGGGTGAGTTGGCCGGCGCTGGGAGTTCTTTCATGATGTATCCCTCCGCCGGAGAGATCCATGCCCTGAACTCTGAGGACCCCCAAGTCCACAAGTGGTTGCGTGTCTTTGGAGAGGACAGTGACAGTGAACTCGCTGTTGTCCAATTGGTCGATAGCCCGCGAACATTTCAGCTATCCCTTCATCACCGCCGTGCCAGTCTCCGTGCCTGTAGTTGGAGGGGCCGTCAAACTGGTTCGCGGCGAGGGTGTGGCCCAAGCATCCTCTGCCCCATTCCCCACCTCCACTGGCAAGGCCCCATGGAGAAAGGCTGCGAAAAAGCGCAAATGCCACCCCTGGTCACCAGCCAGGACGGGTCGCCCATATATATATATATATATATATATATATCTGTGTGTGTGATTGTGTGTGTGTCCGTTGGTGACAAGCTCATGGCTTAGTGTCCGGATAGGCCATTGTACTGATGCAGCAAGATGTACTCAGATCATAGAACTGGCCACACATGAAACTGTTTACAGCGCACTGGATTCAGAATGGTAGGCCTGCGCTCTCACCAGAGCAACAGGTATGCTTGACACGCCACATGTGTCCAGACACGTCGGTGAATGTCCCAATGTGTTTGAGTAGGAGTTTTTAAGTCGGGACACATTTAAATGTCCGGACAACCCGTCCTGAAGGGGGAGGCTTGAGCCAACACCGATACGACAAACGGCTTGATGTGTGTGTGTGTGGGTAGAAGTCTCACTTCAGAAACGCCTAATGTTGGATCTCGATTAGTAAAGGGTCCCTCTACAATGCGACATTTTTCCAAATTTATTTAGACCCCCCTGTTTGAAAAATGGGTCCTGAATAATGCTAACTTTTTTTGGACCCTAAATTTTTAAATTGGAAACCTAATTAGTAAGGGTTTGAATTCCTTCTGAGGCCATTGACTATGATTCATTAGCTGATATAGCTTTCTCTAGGTTTCTTCAAAACTGACAGCTGACCAAAACCACCAGTTCCCCAATTCAACCCTTTATAAAACATTGCTCCTAAACAAATTTTCAAGGTAGTAGACCAGGAAGGCACCTGATCCTCAATAATAAATTTGTTTTTGGGTCCTCAATTGTGAAAAGTGTTTTTCCACTGGAAAAAATGCGCATGGAATCTCTCCTTTACTTAGCTCCTGAGGCCAATGATTATGATTCATTAGCTGATATAGCTTTCTCTAGGTTTCTTCAAAACTGAATACCACAATCAATTACAAGAAGGAATTCTCACAGGAATCCAGATTTGTTTTGGTGATAGTTTATTATAGAGGACTCCCTGTTTGTTTGAGGGGAGGGGGGGGGCCCTTTACTAATCAGGATCCAACATTAGTCTTTTCCTGCGCAAACTCACTGCATTCAGACAAAGAAGCCTTGCAGGATCCAGTAGCTTTGATGAAGACCCAGCAAGGCGTCCAGCGGACTTCTCCTTTGTAGCCCCAGCCGCCAGGCCCGCCAAAACCACCTCCGTAACTGGCGGCCTTCGCCAATCGATGCGCACGCTAGGCCAGCGTTCGCCAACACGGCGTAGCGCACACAGGTACCTCAGTGAGACACAGCCCGCAAACATGGTGTTGGACTGTTTCAAAGGGCAAAGGTTTGGATGGTCCCCCAATTTGCCCAGAAACAACACCCACCACTGGGGTAAAGTTGACAGTTAACAAACAGGCACAACATCTGAGTGCTTTGGTAACCACCAACAAATCCGGGATCGGGACAAACCTTGAACTCCATCACTCGTTTATAGGCCATTTCCCACCTGTGGCAAATTTCTAGCGAGTTGCGCCCAGCTGAAGCTTCGAAGGTCGCTTGCCACTCCTCTGAGGATCTCCTTCTTTGCTCCGAAGTTGTGACGCAAATCCTTCAGGCTCGTGCGGTCACTTCCTATATTGGGCATTGGTGTGGTGAATCCAAAATGTTTCACAAGCACTCCGACCAAGAACTGAAGTAAGTTCAAATCGCTGTGCAAGCAGAAAAACACATTCACTGAGTTTCATAGCGGCAAATGCTTGGATGATTTGGATGTCAAGTTCAAGGGCACAGAAGGAGTCAAAATCGCAAGAACAAAACATGCTACAAGAGCAAACTGAATGTCTGTGCTAACAATTCCACGCATGTATCGCGGCAGCTCCTACAAACAGATGTGCGATCACAAAATTAAACAAGGGACATGCCCCACCCCATCATCCATTGGCTGCAACAAACCGCAACTGTCCAGACAGAAAGGGCGCTATCCAGGAGAAGCCTGCGGAAACGGGATAGAATTCCACCTCGGGAAATGGCCCTCCGACATCAATGAAACTGCAAAAGTGTTTGTAGTGACGTTACTGTATTTGTCTTCCCAAGAAAAGATGAGTTCAAAAGGCCAATAATTGACAGCTCTTGCTACTGCCCCTCCAGCACCTCTGCCAATACAGCACCGCACCAGATTCCGTCCCATCAACCTATCCACTTCGTCCACCTGCTCCATACACACCATGTCTGTCATGCAAACCTCTCGTGTGGCGCGACAAAATTCGTTGCTGGTTGCTGAGGCACCCATCAAACTTGCACTGCACATTGGGGTTCGTGTTCCTGTACGTGACATTTTGTCGCGTTGGAGAGTGTGACATTCATCAGCAGGAGGAGGCTCGTGAACCTTGGTACTCGGCAGGGTTTCGCAGCCAAGCTATGATGAAATCCTTCAAACGTGCAAAGTGTACGAAAGACTAGGCAGGCGCAATGAGCAAGTGCATCGCTACTAGTAACAAGTGCATCGATGCATCGCTACTAGCTAGAAGCTACTAGTAGCTATTTGCCACTAGTAGCGATGCCAGGAGCCCCTAGTAGCCTCCTTGCTCCTAGTAGTAAGGCCAGGAGCTACTAGTAGCTATTTGCTACTAGTAGCGATGCCCTTGTTGCTAGTAGCGTCGTAATGAGTCCACGTTGGAAACTCGCGCTTTGTGACGCCAATGACGCTAGCAATGTCCGAGTCGTGATGCACCAGTTTTCCTTCAAAAAAGGTTAACCTTTTTGCACTTAGTCTTGTTTAGTGGGGAAACCAACCCTCAAAAGAGGTTAAAGGTTGTCCACTGACTGGGTAGGAAGGTGAGCACATGAAAGGCAGGCAGGCTCTTGTGCTCGCGCTGCATGCCCCCTAGCTTCTGACGCTAGCGTGAGTCGGAGAGAAAACAAACAACTACGTAAGGCTTCTTTACAACGGCCTTGTTAATGGAGCCCTTCACTTCGTTCGACATTTCACGAAATGTCTATTTTCGCACTTAGAAAGCACAGTGTACATTGCAAGACAGCAAAGCTTCGCCTGGTCATGATCTTCGCCCTTCACTTCTGGGTGCAACTAGCCAATGAAGTTATGCTTGTCACCCACCCTTATCAATGAGTCTAACTTTGTAAGTTGGAAGTGATGTGGTGCGGCTTAAGGCTTTGGCTTGACAACGCTGTAGTTAAACACACAAGAAGTAGGCATCCTTTACATCCAAGATTCAGGCTGATGAGTGACTGCGGCCCATGAAAGCAATGCCTGTTGTAACAGCAGCTTCTGCTCCGTGGTGTAGACCACCTGCAACTGGCTCGTTAGTGCTTACCCAACGGAATCAGTCCATGGATGTCCATCATGCACAGCCACAAGGAGGTGTGAACTCCACAAGGCGTGGCCTCATGAGTTCCAACGCACTTTTACTCTGGTGTCTTGAGATCGCCACCGTTTCTCTCGAACATCTGATCAAAACTCCAGCCTGGGAGGGAGCGGCCCAAGCCCGTGCCCAAAGTTCCTCAAAGCAAAGCATGTCGAGTCTCTTCGCCGATTCAGATTATATGTATTATGTATTACAATACATATCTATATAATTTTATATATTTCGGCCCGATCCTCTAAATGTTCAAAGCTTCGAGTTCGGCATTGGAGTTGGAGCTGGATTGTGGTACAGTAGCGTCTGCTGAGTTCCTCCAATCAGTGTCTCATCTGGATGTCATATGGCATAAAGAAAGCACTTCCAGGACAATAAAGCAAACACATGCCAAATCATGCCAAAGATAACGAGGAACCAACATTATCCCAAATTCCTCGGCCCCCTAGTGTGCCATGGGCAAGTTTCGACACTTTGCAACACTCCATCGACATCAGCCACCAGCTGCAAGCATTCCTTGACTGTCCGAGCTTCTCAAAAAGGAATTAAAGGATGAATTGCACATGTCTGCATCCTAGAGAACGTGCACACCGGCCTTCGATTCAAAAGTCTCAAGGGCAAAGTGAGAATCCCCTAGACATCCTGGAAAAGAGCAGACTCGGAAGCTAAGCAACTTGGTCCTGGGACCATCATTTCGATACGTTCATAAGGTCGTGTGGTTCTACCCGAAGGTTCTCACAGTTCTCACTGAAGGAATGAACTTCCAAGACTCTTTGGCTCGCTCATTGGTTGCTGGTTCGTCCACGGTGTTCAATAAGGCCTCAGTTTGCTAACTGTTCAGCGTCTCTGAACGAGTTCTGTTGGAAGCCTGTGATACAACACAATCTCAGAGTACATGTCTGATAGAATCTGAGTCATCATTTGATTTAACAGCCTCCGCAGGCTTCACTTCTTTCTCTGATAGAAGGTCCATATGCCCAAGTCATGGAAGCTTACATGATGGGCTAATGATGCATGATCAGGAACACTGTGTGAAGTACTTATAAAGGTATACAGTATTTGATTTTATTTGCATTGAACGGTTGGGCATCTTGGATGATGTCTGTGCATATCTGGGTGCCTCAACATCCCCTTCTGGTGGGTCCAACAAACATTTCCACAAAACCACACAATGTTCAAGTCAAGCCCTGGCTGAGTCCATTCTTCCAGTTGCCCATTCTCGCTGTCTGGGTGATGCGGTTCTGGGCGTCGTCGGGCTGAGGGTTGTTGGCTCAAGTTGCCATCCTGTCCGGTTGGATGTGGAACCATAGTAAGAATGCTAGTAGTACGGCCAGGAGCCCCTGGTAGCGTCCTTGCTCCTAGTAGTAAGGCTGGGAGCCCCTAGTAGCTTCTTGTTACTAGTAGTTATTAAAATTAGTCACTGATCGGATCAAATGTTGTGCCTCACGCAATGAGTTTTGAACCTGATTAATCTTCCATTGCTGTTCTCATGGAAGGCCTGGCTTGAACATTTGCAGCAACAACTAAAATCAATAATACGTGTATGTGGGCACGACATTGAAGGCCTCAAAACTGAATGGACGTCGGTAGAGACATAGTCTCCTTGGTCTTGATGCTTGCGAGTAAAGACAGACTCTTCTTGCTCAGCTTTCATGGCCGCCAAGGCTGCTCGATACTCCGCGCCGCATTGCAGCGGAGATGGGGTGCAGGGCCAATGCCTAGCTCGTTGGCCCGGTGGCACTTTCAAACGGCGATCTTCCAGCGGAACGGATGCCGGATGCTCAGAAACGCAAAAAGCCAATCAAACCCTCAGGACCCTCGTGATGTGGACATTCGTATAGCCTGAGCTCTCATCAACTTTACTCAAAACTTCAAAAGGTCTAAGAGGATCTTACAGCCTCTTTAAATGGAGATCTTAAACCCTCCAACGGCAGTGAGCTCATTGTATCCATCACTCCGAGCAAGAATCATTTGACGAGGCAATGAAGGCAAAGACGGGGGCGTCTGTTCGGCTGGCAGTTGTCTGGGACGTGGAGCACCGACTCCTGTTCCCAACATCCATCAAGCGTTTTGCCAAAACCTTTGTCTTCAAGGTTTCATGTTCCATGGTAGGTAGAGTCAGAAAGACTGAGCTGGGCTATGTTGAGAGGGATAGGAAATCACAAAATGTACTTCATGGGACTAGGATGACCATGGAGCCCACCTCTGAGATGCAGGTCTTGGGCCGGGTTTAGTTGCGGTCTTGAATCGAAAAATTGTCCCGAGCCTTAAATCACAAACCCGTTCTAGGTCAGATATCGGATTTCAAGACTTGAATTTTGGGACTTGGGTTTCAGAACCTATATAAATGGCAAAATCGTTGTGTGCGAAACGAAGCCGCTCAATGAAAGTCTCAGAAAGAAATCCACACACTTTAGTCCGCATACAATCAGGTCGTCAACATCCCAAGATTCAGAATGATTGAACATGATTGAACACTGTGTAGCTGGATTAATGCAAACTTGCTGAGAAGCCTGTCCTGGGTCCAAGTGAAGAGTGATGTCTTCATAACCTGCAAGCTGGATGCAAATCTGCATGCGGTGGATATCTGGATGCAGCGGATGCAGGATGATACCTATATACTTGTCTCCGTTCTCACGCGTTGTTGTCTCCGAACATTTGGAATCCCCAAGCAACTCTGCGTTTCAAGTGCTTGGGCATGATTGAGCCGACTTTAGCGAGAGGCTGCCTGCTTTGCTTGGAATATCAAAAGGGATCCAAATGCTAGTTGTGCACACATGGTTGCTCCCACAGAATCGACTGACGAAGCAAGTTCCAGTGCTAGAAAGTACCTGCTCCCTCAGTCCCTCACGCAATCCTGATTTGGGTGCAGTTTCAAAGTACAGTAAAGGATCATCTTAGCATCCCCGGCATCCGTCATCCCCTGCAAATGCGTCCACCACCAATAACTATCAACTCATAATAAATCGATTTTCCACAGGCATGGCAGGGCTCCCCAAAGGAATCGACGGCGTGCGCTCTATGGCCTCCGGTCTCCCGAGGGTCTTCACAAAGCTGCGATTGGAGTTGCCTTCGATTGCAAGGTGGAACACAGCAAAGGCGGACCGAGCTGCTTTGGGCTGGGATGTTTTTGACATGTTTCTCCTTGACTCATAGGATGCTTTTTCCGCGACCTGTAGGTGCCTGGGGAAACTATGATTTGTGTCTCATGCAAACGACAAATCCTTGTGCTTCCCACAAACACACGTACTCCATTACACCATAAACAGGCTGCCATCATGCAAACAAACATAAACAAACAGTCTGTTTGTGCGAGGCAGCCAGGGCCAAAGCAAAGAATGCTTCGGTAAATCGACATGGCATTTAATGGCTGCTCGTTCTTCCTGCTGAAGGTGTCCCACCTGTGTAAATTTACAAACTATACTGGAGTTGAACACTGTTTCTGACAGTTCCTGCGTTCTCTGTCTTGTGTTTCTGGACTTCCTTCGGGCTCGTTTCAATCAAGACTCTGATACTCTGTGTTGGACTCTAAAGGTTCCAATGCGATCCTTATGATTCCTGACAGCAACCTGACCGGGTACCCTCAAGAAGCGGCCCTAAAAGGAAAGCATTCTTTCAATCAAACAAACATGTACAGTATTTCAATGTATTTCAGTCAAACATGACTTCTGTCTGGCAATGGTTCACTCTCGCGCTGACCATGATTTGTCAGGATTGTTTCTGTATGTTTATGTTTATCCAAGATGGTGCAGGTCTATTTCCATGCACGACTACAGCCTTGTGGCTAGGTCCAATGTGTCCAGACTCACATTTCATGCTGAGTTGCTCCTCCAACTCTTGCAACTTCTCTTGCAAGTTTTGCCAGCCCATGGATACAATCGCACCCGTGTCTGGGCTTTCATTGGAGGACAAACGAGGATAGAAACCTCTTGCCACAGGTTCAACCATGCCTCACGCCTGGGCCATGACCGACCTATTTTAGAAAAACGAATCATGCGGCTTCGAAGTCAAGTTGAAACAAGCAAGCGCCCATCGAACAAAATCGAAGCCGGTATAAACATTGGCCTTCTTGGAGGACGGTTGTGTTTGTCAGTATTGCGCATTTTTGTGGTTGCTAGTTTGCACACCATTTTGCATGCTAAAGCCAACTGCAGTTCACAAAACAATGGGAAGAAACTAACCATTTGAACCGTGGCATGCATGAGCTCTTTTTTGGATCGAGAGGTCCATCGCAGGAAGTACTTCGCCTTGCAAGCAAGAGATGGTCCTCACCAAGGTTGCTTCCTCTGCTAGCCTACCTTCATCAACTTCTTATGGCCTTGAACAGTCTTGTTGCCAAACCTCCGCATATCATGAAACTTTATCCATCCCAACTTAGTCCAGCTCCTCAGGAGATCGCTTCCTGGGCACAAAGGGCCAAGTCTTAGATCGCTAAGAATCAGTGCTGTCACGAGTACATGAATGGAATGGAATGGCGATCCCAATTTAAACAAAGGTGACACTTCGCAGCTACTCCGTTCCCAAGGACTAATCCGTTGGTGCCAATGAGGAATGCTCTTTTTGCCTGGGCTTGCGGAAGTCCAACTTTTCACCTCAGCAATCACGGGCTCTGGCGTGGAGAGCGGAGTGTATGACACATGGTGAATCCGGCGCCTTCGCGGTATACTTGTCTTGTGTAAAAACGATGTTCTTGAAATGATCAACTATTTTCTTCAGTAACACCTTTACCGGGGTAGAATCTTGAATCTTCTAGATGTTCTGTACATAACTGTTGGACAGGTTGATAATTAAGTAAGTATAACTTCATCAAACTGGTGTGGACTGCATATGGCAGCGATGTGGCAGGAGTAGAAGTATGAATCCTTTGGGACATCAAGCAGCCAGTGAACATGCTCACATTTGGCGCCCCGGCGGTCACAATAGTCAAGGTAAGCCTCTTCATTTTGGCAGTTGCAAAAGTTGATGAAGTATCAACAGAGTCTTTGACAGATTTAGACAGCCTTTGATCAAACAGAGTCTTCGCCTTGACAGCCTGCACGTGTTGCGCGTGGGAGACCAGCAAAGGATCGTGATAGAAGGCGCGGTCCTGGCGATCTGCGATTGGACCAGTGGAAAGGTTGAATCTTACCAAACACAAAGGGGCCCAAATTTAATTCATTGGAGTCTCAGAATCTGACCTGTGCTGCTAGATCGGGAGTCTATGCATGGGTGCATTGAAGTTTGGGGTCAACTGCATTGGACTATTCATTTCGTTAATCAGAACTCAACATGTAAAATGTGTAGAATCACTATGGATCATTTGAACTTAGGAAGCCAGGATCATCCCTGTTGTCTAGGTTGCTTCAGCCTCCTCGAAAGATCTATCCATCCTCGAAATCACTTGTCGGTGCGGACTTTGCTCTGGATTAGCTTGATGCTGTTCCTCCGTTTGGGGCTGGTCAGCCCAAGGGCTGACAGGGAAACTCCAAGCCTTTACACAAGTGTGGATTTCCCTTGAACTGTACATCACAAGCCTGGGGCTGTATCAAGCTATAAATCTCAACCTGGGGCATTGCCCATTCAATCCCAGCCATCCCAAGGTCAATGCACGACCTAGACCGCAGGTGGCAGCGGCATTGGAGGCTGCAAAATAAACACCGATCTGCTCATTGAAAGCCATTCTGCCCTTCAAAAGGCCATGTAAATGCTCATCTAGACCTGAAATGTCCAGGACTCTGATCACGCAAACTTGACCAACTTCAGGTGCTTGGATTTTGACCAACTGGTGATGCATCTGCGTGGAGTGTCTGCATCCGCGTGTGCTTGGGTACATCCAACCCGTGCCTCAAAGGCCATTGCTTTTCGCCCCTCGTCACTCAGATCTTCCTCAGTCCCTCTGCCATTGCAGTCGACCTGCTCAGCTCAAAAAGTCAAAACGCCTAGAAGTTTACAGTAGCGATGGATTTTTGGCAGTGTGCTCTTGCAAATCCACTAGAACTAATCACAAAAACAAACAAACTGACATCATCTGTTACACCAAACATCTGTTCAACAATCAAGTACTGTATTTGATGCAAGATCAGCACCATTTAAAGACCTCTCTTACAAAGTAGACCAGTGGACCAGTGGACCAAGACCTGAAGGCAACATGGCCCAAGGTCTAAACCAAGGACCCAATGGCCTCAACTCGAAAGCAGCGCTTCAGTGACTGGTTTCTCCCAAGGAAGGCCTTCTTCGCCAAAGAGTCTTCTTCGAGTATTAGAGGCTTCGTCACTTCGTCCTTTGACTTTGGGTTTAAAAGAAAAGCCTCGCCTCACACTGGTTGCTGGGAAAGTCTGGCGGGGTGTGGCCCTGCTGGAGGGCCTTGGCCTGGCAAAGAACTCCAGTTGGACTTCATTGCCAACTATGCCATGTGAGCCTACACGCGAGCCTGTAGGCTCCCCTTTTTGCACAAGAAGCGTTTGCAATGCACGTCACACATTTCTATGCATTTCTTAATATGTTTTCACAAACATATATATATATACATATAACGTTCCATGCATTCCCAAATAGCCAAAAGGCATGTGCCTCAGCAGTGGTAAGCCTGGTAAGCATGGATTGTGCCAAGACTGACTGGACCCGACACCTGAACAGGACCTTTTGTTTGGGGAGGTGCATACCTTGTTCTTTCACATGTGTTGCGATTGGCTGCTGCTTCAGTTGTCGCACGAACACCCCGATTGATACGTAAGGTCTTTCGGTGGATGAATATGTCGCATAGCTGGAGACTCGGGACCTGAACAGCCACACCCTCATGCAAATCTAGTTGAGTGAAGCATGCTGGAACTAGAATCTGACAGCAGCCTCAGTCACTGGCTAAGAACGAATTCAATGGCTCCCCACAAAGGAACCAAGCAAGCTGCAGCACTTGATGCCTTCAACCTGCTGCTTGCAGGTTCCGGATCCAGCCTGTTCTTTCACGTAAGCGGCGTTCTTTTCCTTACACGGGCTGGATCTCATAATCGCAACTGCCATCCACAACCATGAAGTACTTCAATCAATCAACTGGGAGGGCCCCGCCCCTAGACCCAGGGTCAATTAAAGACTACATACAGTAACTCAAGAAAGCTATGCTCGCTGGGATTTGTGGAAAGCACACGTTGCCCTTCTCACAGCAGTCTGTGAGTCACCAAGAGTCGCAGAACGGCACCGCCGGAATGTAGAACACCTCAGGCAGCTCAGCTTTGCTCAACACAAGATGTGTCATTGGGAGAACAAAACCATGAAAGAAACGAAACCAAAAAAGAAAGAACAGATCTAAAGGTAAAGAAAGAAAGATAAGAAAGAAAAACACAAGGAAAGTCAAGAGTGACATCTATTTATATAACTGATTTTTCGCCTCCAAGATCCCTCCGAGGCTTCTCCGAGGTTTGGAGCTGAACTGTCCACCAAGCTTCTGGTTCTGGTTCCAAGGAGTGAGCAATGGATAATTTTGGGTTAAACTACTCGCACTATGGGGTTCAAGCACCTTTCTTCTCATTGCTTTAGACATTTTGGGCCAATTTATTGGGCAAGTGTCTGCTGCATCCTCCTGTCCGCCATGAACGCCTTCCACTGCGTGGATAAGATCACAATGCCACCACACTGTGTCACCTGCAGTCACTGAGCTGCAAGCCGAAATAGAATATTAAAGATATTCAAGAACATGTTGCATTCCAAACTTATTGAAGTTTCACTGTTGAACTCCTCCACAGCCACATATTATACCTTTAAGATTCTCGGCGCTTTCAAGCGGCAGGAAAGAGATAGGCTGGCAAGACGCAAACCATCTCAGGAACAATGTCCGGGGATTGTATCTTCACTGATGAAGCAACCTTTGTCAATCATAGTAGTAGCACATGTTGCTGTAAAGCAACAAAACGAAACGCAATGTAATTCCTTGAATCTTCCTGTCTGGATAGGTACATTGTACAAATCATATTGGCATAACATCACATGATTCATTTGCATTCTATAAAAAGCTGTATATAATTGTACACATGCCCTTGCAACTGCTCAAAAACATGTCTCGCAAACTATCTTTATATAACTGTTTCTGTGTCACCTCACAGTCAAAGGTTTTCGCAAGCACAATAGAAAATACCACAGGAATTCTTCACCCAAAACCGGATTTACCATGATTTACCAACTGCATCATTCATGGCCCAAGATCCCTTGCATGCGCCCAAGGTGCCTGGTTGGACATCAGGAATGGGCACCAGGCAGTCAATCAACAGCTGGTGGAATTCTGGAAAGAGATCCTGGCTGCGGGCTTATCAACCACGGCCCCTGCACAAAAAACATATATGTTATATATATATATAAAATATATATACATGTTTGTTTGTTTTTGCTCATTTTTTGACGTAGACTAGACAGCCCCTAGCAACTTGAATAACAAGCTGCATATCCATGCAGGCAAATCTCCCGGAATTTGCTCGCTTCTCATTATCACATAGGCAGGTTTGGTGTTCCTTGCCCCCGCTACAGAGAAAAGACCATGAACCATGCACCTTGTTCAAAATGTGCTGGCTTTGGGTTCACCGATAATGCACTCTCTGTTTCCAAAGTTTGCTAATCTCCTCAGGCTTGGATCGAGATTTGCGGCAAAGAATATGCAGTATCAGCTTTCTATTTCAGGCACTTCTCTCACGTGTCTCACATCCCAGCATGGTGCTTGTCTTGTCCAACTACGCCCACGCCAAATCCTCAAGCCAACATACAAATTGACTTAAGCTCCATGATGCTCCAAAGCTTTCTTTTTTCTTCTGTTTCTAATAGCGATGACCTCCAACCTAATAGCGATGGCCTCAAACCTAAAATAGCTTCATGATGCTCCAAACGACTGTTGCCCAAACCTGCGCTCCTGGACTTTTCCCGGATTTGCTCCACAAAAGCTGGAGGGTAGCACATCCTCACGGACGAACACCGCCTGTTGGTGGAGGTCAACAGCGTATTGATATAGTAGCGTCCTTGCTCCTAGTAGCGATGCCAGGAGCCCCTAGTAGCTTCTGGTTACTAGTAGTAAGGCCAGGAGACCCTAGTAGCGTCCTTGCTCCCAATAGCCTTAACCAAATGCCAAACATTTTTGCTATCATGTTCCCCACTTTGCTCTAAACGAACTCTGACCTCGAAAGGTCACGTATTGAGATTGCACCTTACGGAGCCGGCTGCACCCTTGGCATGAATGTCCCACGCGATACCTTCAGCTTCTACCCAAAATGCATTGAACAGTCACTTTCCAGTTTTTGTAGCTGAGGGTTACACTGGGTGCATGGCCTGGGTTCCAGTCCCCTAATCCTCACGGCAAGGCATTCTCTAGTCTGGTCCTCCATAAAAGGTCTCAGGAGCAAGTAGGCCGTGGCCTGAGAAGGCTAAACAGAACCTGTTCGCCTGTTCTGCCTCGATTCTCATGGCTCATGCTGCCTGGCTTGCTTTCCTTCAAGGGTGTTTCCTGCTATAGCAAGCTTGTTAATGAATCTAGCAATGGCCTCCAACCTACTAGCGATGGACTCCAACCTACTAGCAATGGCCTCCAAGCTAGTAGCGAGCTTGTTAATGAATGTTTATGTCCTTCAATGTCTCCTAGACTGGGCCTCGACTCCTTGTATCTATTCAGTGAGTGTTGCTCATGATCAGTTATAGTATAGTCTTGATTGAACCGATTGAAACTACCCCGCCTCGCGCAAGATAGGCGCCAAGAGCAAAGCACCTCGTGCTTCTCCAGCGTGGCTTAGGGACAACCAGCCCTGGAAGGATCGGAAGATGCTACCTCAACCGCTGAAGCCGCCTCTCCAGAGCCACTGAAATTCCCATCAGTGATTCTGTGCACGAGGATTGAACCTCCAACTTGTTTCTTAAGAGTTTTTAGAGGAAAGGAGGGCTATGGAGAGCTCAATGGTCTTGTTGAGATCAGCAAGCTGAAGTATGATAAAATGAAAGTGTTTTTCCGAAATACAGTAATAAAACAATGTAGCCTTCAAAGTGTCAAAGACTGCAAACCAGAATTTTAATAAGTAAAGATATGTAAAGATAGCGTTTATTCAGTAGTCACTGACATGACCCATTGACAACGAGCGGCAAGCACCCAAGTTCTTCCCATACCTCGGCAAGTCACTGACAGTTGGAAGGGCAAACTTGCTCATTCCGGGATTGCTACTACACTGGCCAAACAAAGACTACGCTTTTTGATGCTGATCATGACTACAGCCCTTTCCTACACACTGAGGCATGCGAAGGTGTGTGCAACGGTGCAGTAACTGGCCATCCCCTGTGAACTCGATCCGCGGCTGACCTGATGGTGTCCTATGAAACAGGTAAGAAGCAAAGGGCAGGCATGGACTAGTGGCTATGTTGATCCCTCATGCATCGGACCCGGGTTCAATCATGTTCAATCCCCGAGTTCAACACGGACCGGCGGACAGGCTACTTCAAGTGTGCCCCACCCCTGCCCCTGCAGTTAAGGGGATGAGCTAGGGTGTGGACCGTTAAAAGCATAAACTTTGTCTGCCTGACGTAGAGCTACTGAGCTTGGACACATTGGGTTTAGGAAACCACACTGTCACCTGTGAACAAAAAGCATGCCAATCACCCATATTCTGTCCTTCAGATGAAATTAGTCAAGGAAGAAAACGCGATATCAATGTTTGTGGACTCGCGTACGATTCAACCTGTGAGCGCTGCAACACCCCAAAAAGGACTCTAAGACACTCTGAGAGATAGAGACTTGATGAAACAACGCACGCTCGGCTGTTTTAGCTTGAAAAGAAGAGGGGCTGCAGATGCAACCCTTTGGTTTTCAGTCTCAATCTTTACAACTACATCAGGTAACACATGCAAGGAGATGTATAGGACCTAAGTCCCAACACCCCTCCACAGAGCAAAGTCTTGGACTCTGCACTGTCCGTCTTGGGTTCTTCATCTACCTAGGACAGCACTGCTTGCAAGCTTGGTAACCTGCATTCAAAGCAGCACTACGTCGAATCTCTCTGACCCTTCTTCTATTTACATTAGCATTGGCTATACCAAGGTTCAATCTGTGATACTTTACACCTTGGCCAATGACAAGTACGAATTCATCTACAGGCTCGCGTCTTTCACGTAGGCCTTGTGATCCATCCTGGATCAGCGCTGCCGGCTTACTGTGTTCATTTTCGGAGGCCTTTACCTCCATTCCCAGCGAACTCATCGCAGGTTCTTGCGCCACTGTGGGACCAGGGATTTCTGTTCCCGTCCCATTGTCATCACTTTCATCTTTCTCACCTTCGCTCTCTAATCTTTCATCGATCACTTCTTTCAAACGGTTTCTGTTCGTGAACGATTCGTAGGCTCTCATGCAAAATGCAATCAGCCCAAACAAGGCAAACAAATGCGTCAGCAGAAAATAAAGCCAAAATGGCCAGCTGCCGTCTTCATCTGTGTCATACTCTTCAGGTCCTTGACACTTCCCAAGTGTCAGAAGCGATGCCGCAATGATGCCCCTCTTCAGCGGCATCATTTCCACCAATCTTGAAATTCTTGCTGCGTCAAGAATCTTCGTTCCTATGTCAGCCCAGTTTGTTTCGGTGGACTCCTTTTGGACCTTGAAGGCTTTCTTTGCCACCATGTCTTGGACCCAGAGTTCCTTCAACGACAAGTGCTTTACGCGTCCGACACCTTGTCGAGCTGTGATTCCTTTCGCGGCCGAGGAATCTGTCAAGCAAATCATTTCAGTCTCTCTTCGGATTTCTTCCAAGACATTCTTCAAAAGCAAGCCAGCGCTTGCTGCCCGCGTCAGGGCATAGTACTCTGCTTCTCCGAAGCTAAGATCACTGTACGTGTAGAAACACTTGGGCATTTCCTGTTCGTCAAATTTCCAGATCTCTGTTGGATACTTGGCGAGGTACCTGACGAGACGTTTCAGCTGGAGTGAGTGTACTTCAGTCGCTTGTGACATTCCTGCGCTCACTTGTGACATTGCGTACTGGATGGTCGGCCTATCCAGCAAGTACAGGGCTGTACCAGCCTGTTTTCTGAACTCTCGCGTACCACTGTCGGAGAGTGGCTCATTGACATTTCTCTCATTCTTTCCCGTCTCTTTGGAAGCTGGCGTCTCGACACCTTTGGCGCCTTCCAAGCCCATATCCTTTACCAACTGCTTGGCATACTTTGGATCTGCCTGCCAAGTGAATCTGGGCAGGACTTTCCATGACATGCTACTGTAACATCCCACTCAGGATGATAATACAGTCCAGGGACTGCTGCAGAGGCTAAGAACCCTGCAGGCGTGAGTCCATTTCGAATGCACAAGCTCCATTGCTTGCTTGCTTCTCTTGTTCCGTTCATGGCTTTCAGCAGAAACCACAAGTTCGCGCCGTCGAACATGTCCTTGGGAGGCATTACAGCAATGCCACCTCTCGATGGGGCATGGAAAAATGCCACTGACACATCATATCTGCTGATGATTCGCTTTTGGCCATGATCTGATTTTCTTTTGGTTGCTGCACTTGACACAATTAGGCGATGAACCCACAAAGGTGGTGTTCCACCGAAAGTGTCATCTCTTGGTCCCAAGTTCAGCTCTTGCGCAACCAGTCGGGATCGGACTCCCCGATCATCATCCGGCAAGGCTTTCCTTGCGTCGATCCATCTGGATCTCACAATCTTCAGTCCACGCCTCTTGACTTCATCCATGGGCATGTCAACTTTTACTTGATGCTCTTCCATCTTGTTCATCTCCCGAGCCCTTCCTTTCTTGACCTTCTCTTCTTCGAGAACTTCACCGGTTCTCTCACCATATATGGTCTCAAGTTGGATCCACTCGGGATAGCTTGCTATTGGAAGGCAATGCAAAGTAGGGCGATCTTCTGTGTCTTTTTCATCACGTTCTTCCAAGACACAGGCTAACAAGCCACGATCGACATCATCGCCAACTTCAAGCGCTTCAAGTGTTGTCTCAGGGCCTCGTTTCTGTCCTGATTGTGGAGCTGGATCTGGCTTAGATCTCTTTGCTTCCTTTCCTGCGGAACCAGCCGCATCTCTCTTTGAAGCAATGCCGCTAGCTTCGGCTTCATGGGATTCTTTTGATCCGCTGGAGGTGGCGGGGCCACCCGCCTCACCTCCGGAAACGGTGCCACCCGCTTCCTTCTCCTGAGCGGCGCCACCCGCCCGAGATGGTGCAGAGCCACCCGCGCCCATCTCCACATCCTTTGCAGGATCTTTCGTTTCCCTTTCTTTGGCAATAAGGGATTCAAACCTTGCACGACATTCCTTGTTGCGCGGCTTCGGATCGTCATCCGAACAATGACATCCAGGGCAAC